GCACAGGCAGGGCTGCGGGGCACTTGGCTGTGTGTCCTGGCCTCGCCGTTCACAGCCATGGACTTCAGCGTGCTTCTCACCTGGCAGAGCCTCAGTTTCCTCGTCAGCAAAGGGGGACAATGACAGTTCTACCTCGTTTGGAGGATTCAGAGAAAGGTACGGGGATCATCACATCACACTCAGAGATGATGGTTCTGGACGGAGGATTCAGAGGAAGGTACAGGGATCATCACACCGCGTTCAGAGATGAGGGTTCTGGACAGAGGAGTCAGAGAAAGGTACGGGGATTGTCACAAGGCGCTCACAGATGAGGGTTCTGAGCGGAGGCCACGGCGTCCTCTCGTTTTGTCCTCAAGGCAGGTGTCCTGAGCTCCAGTGCTCAGGGCGCACTTCTTAGTGACAGGAGGCCCTGGGACTTCAACATGGTGTGTTCACCTCCAAAGTCCAACCAAGTGGCCCGGTGCGTCTTGGAGGGGACACCTGGCTGGTCAGCTGCTGGGGGCTCCTGGGCCGTGATGGGAGCTCGGCTGCTCTCCTCTGCCTGAGCCCAGTGGAGGCTGCAGACCACGGCCGAGGGCGGCCCCCCATCCGAGGGGCAGAGTCGGGACCTCGTGGGCTGCAGGGGGCTGGGGCCCTGGTCCTGGAGCTGCTCCCAACTCCCAGGGGGACCTTGGGTGAGCACAGCCTGACTCTGGAGCCTCCATGCAGCCCGGACAGACTGGCCTCGTGGATTTCAGGTGGTGTGTTTGCCTCCAAAGGGGAGCCTGGCCTCCCTGCCACTTGCTGGACGTTTCTCTGTGGAAGCTCATTCCACGTGGGTCTGGAGCCAGGATTAACTAGCCTCGTGAGTGGTCATCTCCGGGTAGTAAAGACCTTGGGAAAAATCTGGGTCTGGCCCCTCCTTGTTCTCCCCTCTCATGGCACTCAGCCCAGTGCAGGGCGGGTCGTGTCCACAAGACTTTGTGAAATGAATGGAATATTTGAGGGGTCAGAGGTCACATCCTTGGAAGCAACACGAGGGAGAAGCAAAAAGAGATAGAAGAGGAGAACCAGTTTCTGGGCCCAGCTCTGCCTCTGGTGCAAAACGTGACCTTGGACAAGTCCCCTCCCCTCTCTGGCCTCAGTTTCCTCCACTGGACCATGATAGGATTGGCAAATGATTTGGTTTCTCTGAGCCTCAGTTTCCTTAGTTATAAAATGGGTGTGATAACAGTAACTATTCAGTGAGCAGAAGCAAGCACCCTCTTCACACTGTCTAGTACACAGGAAGCCTCTTCCTAGTGATGATGGTGATGATGATGATGATCATGGTGTGATGATGGTGATAGTGAAGATGAAGATGACGGTGGCGGTGGTGGTGCTGGTGATGGTGACAATGACGAGGATGATGGTGATAGTGTTGAAGATGGTGATGATGATGGTGGTGGTGATGGTGAGGATGATAATGATGGTGGTGATGATGATGGTGATGATGAGGATGATGGTGGTGATGGTGAAGACGATGATGATGATGGTGATGATGGTGATGATGGAAACCTCTGTCCCCCAGCTTCGCCTGTTGCCAGATTCCCCACTCAGTGTGGACACAGAGCTGGACAGGACCACAGGGATTACCTATTCAACCCTTCATTTTATAGCTGGAGAAACTGACTCTCATAGAGGCAAAGAAGTTCATCCAGGCTCACACAGCCCAGTGAGGGCAGTGGGGATTCTGCCCCAGCCCCGGCCCTGGTCTCCGCACCACCTCCAGCGGCCGGGCTCCTCCTCATTGCCCCTGGGTGCTCCCCTTTCCCTTCCCAGCCTGCTGCAGCAGCACCCAGCCCGTCCCAGAAAACTCTGAGTGTGAGTCTTCACGGTTGGGTTTGAATCATCGCGGAAGCGCCCCAGGCACTTTCCAGGGCCATTTGTCTGTTCCGCCTTTCTCACAATAAGCAGAGCTGTTAGTCTACATTCACAGGAAAACCCCGGGCTCCTGGCAGTGTCCCTAACCTCTTACCTCTCAGAGGACAGCTCATGGGAGCTGGAAAGGTCCTTAGAGGTCACAGGTGCATCCTCTGCACAGGATGGGGAAACTGAGGCCCAGAGGGGCAAGACCTGCTCAAGGTCACACAGCAGGTCAGAGGCTGGACGTGGGTCTCTGGGCTCCAGCCCACTTGTCACCACAGCACGATTGCACCTGCTGAGCCTTGACGAGCCTTTGAGACCCCGTTTCCCAGGGGGCTCATGAGGTCAAGTTCACCTGTTCCTCACCCACATTCTGCCCCAAAAGAGGAGGCATCGCAGGGGTGCTGTATGGCTCCCAGCTTCCTCCTTCTGATCACTTAAAATAAATCACTTCGCTGTTTTAAAGTGGTTCGTTCTTGGGGCCGGCCCGGTGGCTTAGCAGTGTAACAGATAAGTGCACGCGCTCTGCTTCGGCGGCCCTGGGTTCACCAGTTCGGATCCCGGGCGCGCACCAACGCACCGCTCATCAAGCCATGCTGAGGTGGCATCCCACATAGAGCAACTAGAAGGATGTACAACTATGACATACAGCTATCTACTAGGGCTTTGGGGAGAAAAAGAAAAGTGGTTCGTTCTTGCTGAAAAACTGAAAACAAAGTTCAAAGAGTCTAAAATCCCTAAAATGCACCCAGGTAGCACCATTACCATTGTCAGGAATGTTCTATGGCTGGTGCTCCCCTTCACCACTCTCCGCCCCCAATCCGTCATCCACCCGCTCTGTCTTGCTCTGTGCCGAGGCCGACCTGCATGGACTATCGGGATTCCTCGCAGACTGGCTTTCATGGATTTGGACCAGTGGGAGGCACCCAGGAGTCCAGAGGGCTGGAGAGGAGGGAGGTCAGGGTCTCTCTTCCCTGCTCCGTCCCTGCCTCAACCCCGAGTTTCTGCATGTGGGCGTCCCCCTGAGACTGCAGCTCCGGTGGGCACCCCTCCATGGCTCCGGCTCTCCCGGGGCTCCAGGAGGACTGCTCACCATCCTCCTCTTGTCCTCCTGCAGATGCTGACAGCTCCCTGGGGCTGCTGTTCTCGGGCCACCACCCCCAACCCCGTGTGCTCTCGTAGCCCTGCTGTCACCTCCACCAGCTGGCCCTGCATCACAGCTTCTGTCCGCACCATCCAGGGGGATTCATTTCCCACCGGGGCTCTGCCCCATACATCGGCCCTCTTTGCATAAATATCCATCACTGCAGTTTATCCAAATGGGATCTTGCAGCACCTCTTTCCATGTTAATAAGTATTGATATTCACCCTCATTTTTTATGATGATTGAATGTGTTGACTCATATAAAGTACTGAGAAGAGAGCCTGGGAGTGTTGAGTAGCTCCTCCAGGACCACATGGATTGAGTATGGGGGAAAGAGAGCTCCCCCGGAAAAATCAAGGTTCCGTTACCACAGAAGGGGAATGTATGCCATAGGCACAAACAGTAGCTGTCATTAGAGGAGACGATAGCTGCATTTGGGTTTTGAAGGACGAATAGGAGTTCACCAGATGGAGATGCGTTTGGGCATTCCAAGCAAAGGGAAGGAAATGATCCAAAGCAAGACAGCATGAATGAACTCAGAGTAAACTGTTTGGTAGCATCCTCAGGACAATCCACGAGGTAAGTTGAATTGTTACCCACATGTTACAGGGGGGAAACTGAGGCTCAGAGAGATGAAGCTTCTTGTCTCAGGGTCACACAAACAGTCCTGGAAGGCAGATCTCCCAGTCTAGCTTCCAGGAGCTCCCCGCTGCCCCTTCTACTGACTGCTCGTGTCCAGGTATCTGGAGAAATGGACAGCGCAGGAGAGCTGGCTCAAAGATGGAAGGTCAGAGACTAGTTTAGGTGAACTGTCCCAGGCCCCAGGGAAGAGCCTGGGAGGGACACACCAGCAGGAATAAGATCCATACCCTCAAGTAACTTCTCCAAGTTGCCACGTGGCAGAGGAGCTGGCATAGACTCCGGTCCTCCCCACCTGTCACTTCGAGGCTGTGGGACCATGTGAGAGCTGCCCTCTCTGAGCTTCGGCGTCACCATCTGGGAAACAAGCCCCGTGGCCACCTCCCCTACTCGTTCCAGGAGACACATCACCTCTGGGCGTGTCTGGGGCTGTCACTACAGACAGCTTCTAGGAGCTGGCCTCTCGGTGCCTCACTAAACCATGAACCCTCCAGGACGAGGCCTGAGCCTTCACTGTCTCGTGTCCCTTCCTGAGATGTGCCCACAGAGCCCACAGGTCCCCCACGGCCTGGTGGATGTGGCCCCTTCAGAGTCAGGAAAGCAGAGCTCCCAGGACTGGGGGGGCGTGGGACAGAGCAAGACGGATTGGGAAGTCATGGCCACCGCGTCCATCAGCCGACGGGAACCGATCAGTCATCCCCACGCACACGTGGGGCCAGACCCACCGAACCTAAGAGCCGGCGGGGTGTCCAGACCACCAGGCCCTGCCCCTCCTCGTTCTGAGCCCTGGAGATGAAAGTGCACGGAGGGGAGGTGAGCGCCCCAAGGTCACAGGCCAGGCAGCGCCCAGGGGGAAAAGAACCTGGGGCTCCAGACTCCTGTCCTGGGCGCTTCCTCCTCGCCCCCCGCCCCGTCCCGGGTGCCCTCAGCCCTCCAGCTGCTCTGGACACAGCCCCGCGTGTCTTCCTCTCTAAGTGTTGCCGCCTCCATGGGGCCACGCCTGCGTTTGATTGAATAACCACCTAGGGGAGGACGGGACGATCCCCAGAGCAGCCCCCGCCGTGTGAGACCAGGAGAGTCTGCCCTCCTACCTCCCCGTCAGCTCAGCTCCACACGGGAAACCAGCAGTTTACACAGTGTTCTCTTCACACTGCAGGAAACAGTGTCTCTAAGGACCAACTGGCATTTTCTGTACTTAACGCATAATAGCTAGTCTCATAAATCTAAATTATCCCTATAGATCTAAGTGAAATGCCCAGGTTTCGGTGTATTTAGGACACTTAATTAATAAACTGCTAGCAATAACCACTACTAATCTGTTTACTCGGAGCAGACTTCCATTTTCAAAGCCCGTACTTCTCTGCGGTGTGTGGGTGGGAGGAAGGAGGGAGCCCAGGGGCCCTGGCAGTTTGCTGTCTGCTGTGGGCACTGCCCATCTTCACGGTGCCCTCCACAGTTACCTGGGCCTCCTTTTGTTTGGCCTTGTCCAGCATCTGGGTCATTTCCCTGCCAGTGCCACAGAGAAGGTCGCCAGAGTGTCCTGTAGGTGGAGAAAACCTGGGTGAGAATTGGGAGGACTGGCTTGGTCACTAATGTGCTGTGTGACCTTGGATGAGTTGCTTGCCCTCTCTGGGCTTCAGTTTCTTCTTTTGCAAAATAAGAGAAAGACTAAATCGCCATGGAGGGCCTTTTCAGCGGCTGCGGGGAGAGAGTTGTTGGGTGTGTGAGACTGGTCCACGACTTACGAGCAGAGTGACCTTGGGCGGGTGACTTAACCTCTCGTGCCTCAGTTTCCTGGTCCGTACACTGGGGACAGTAACAGCACCTGCCTCACAGGGTGTGGGAGCCTGAGACGAGGTCCTGAGTGTGACGTGCTCAGGTCAGTGCCTGACTGGCCGAGGGCCCCATAAGGTCGGCTGTCGTTACCGGAGTGGCCCGTCCTTAGCCTTGTAAACAGTCACCTGATTTGTGAGGAGGGTTTGGGGGAGGGGTGACAGCCGGGGCAATGTGGGACGGGAACACCAGTGGTCAGAGCTGGAAACAAGTGGTCCAGGGGATGGAGGGGGCGGCTCTGCTCTGGTCCGTCCCCCAGAGGATGGCAGGCCCAGCCCCCAGGTCAGTCCTCCTGGGTGGCGACTGGTCATTGAGATGAGCAGCACGGGGGTGACACGGTTCCTGGGGACTCTCATGTTCCTACATGTCCTTGAATGTCCCCCAGTGGCCCAGGCCCAAGATCTGCATCATGTCACTGCCCCGCTGCCCCCCCGTACCCTCCCCCCGTCCCCTCCCTCCTCCCACATGTAAGGGTCACCAGGCTGTCTCCACAGGGCCTTCCTCCCCCTGCTGTTCCCATCTCGGTCCAGGAACCCTCACATCGGGCCTTGGCTCCTAACTGGTCCAGGCTGCACCTCCCCCCCGACCCCCGACCCTCCCCACCCCCTCTCCAGCCCCAACCCTCCACCCCCTCTCCCCTAGCCCACCCTCCACACAGCAGGGTTATGACCTTTCTAAAACGCACGTCCAGCTGAATCTCTCCAGGGCTTCCTGTCCCCCAGGGGCCCCACCACACTCAGGGTCAAGGTCAAACCCCTCCATGTGGCTCCTGAGGTCCCTCGGGATCCAGCCCCCTCTGCCTCCTCCATCTTCTCAATCGTTGGTCACCCTCCACCCCCCAAAACCTGCCTGGGCCACACAGACCCACTTGCCATCCTGCTAACGTGTCTTTCTCACTCACTCTCTCCCGGGTCTTTGCACCAGCTGGTCCCTCCTCCTGAGAGCCCCTCCCCTTCACTGAACACCTCCCCCTGGACCTCCTGGTCTCTGCACGAATGTCCCCTCAGGGAGGCCTGCCCCGGCTGCCCTAAGCTCCCTCAGCTCTCTATGCCTATCCTCATTGTAGAACTGTCCACCCAGAATGGAACAGCCCCCTTGTCCATCCGCCTCCCCCATCTGACTGTGAGCAGCCTGAGGGCAGAGGCGCACCTCACTCTCTGCAGCCCAGGTTTCAGGCTTGGTCCGGCCAGGGGCTTCGGTGCACGTTGACTGAGGGGTAGAGAACATCAGGATCTCAGAGTACAGAAGGGCCGTGCGTCCCGGTGGTTAGACTGTGTGTCCGACACCATTCATCGCTCGCCAATACCCTCATCTGTTTGGGCTGTGGCAGGCGGTGGCAGGGTTCCCCTGTTACCAGAGAGGATGGTCCCAACTCACCTTGGAGGAGCGGGTTTGATTGGCCTAAACAAGCTATGGTAATCTCATCCCCATGGCTAGTGATTGGTCTAGGATTTGCTATGTCCCACCCAATGAAATAGAAGCAAATCCCACTTAGGTGAGTCTTCTAAGAAAGATTTCTTTATCTGAATAAAAGGGACAGACTCAGTTGGTACAACTCTCTTGCCCTTTGCCCAAATCCTTCCTCCTGCCTGCTATCGAGGCATGATGTCTGGAGCTGCAGCAGCCCTTTCATGACCACAAGGCTACAAACCCAAGGACAAGATGCCACCTGCACTGAAGATGGCAGAGCAGAAAGAACCTGGGTCCTGTGTGGCATCCTGAACAGCTGAACCAGGGCCAGCAGTCACCCACATATGGAGCTCTTTTCAGGTGAGAAAAACAAGCCTGTTTTTTCAAGCCACTGTTAGCCAAAGTCTCTGTTACTTGCAGTTAAATACAGTTGTAACTGATACAGACAGACCCAGACTCAAGTCCTTTCTCTGACTCTGACTAGCTAGGTGACCTTGAGTAAGACGGTTCACCTAGCCAACCTTTCTAAGTTTCTCAAAATGCAATTCATTCACCTGTTAAAATGGAGTTGATGATCCTACCTTGTAAGTGTGCTCCATGAGGGAAGGGAATTGCTAAATTTATCGAGAGCTCACCCTGTGCAGACACCAGTCTAAGCAGTTTGCACGAATTGTCTCCCTCAGTCCTGATCACATCCCTATAAGATATGCACCAATATTAACATGCCCCATTTTGCAAATGAGAAAACTGAGGCACAGCGAGGTGAAGTCACTCGCCCTGGGATACACAGCTGGCAAGTGGCGGAGATGAGATGTGAACCTCGGCGGTCAGACCCCAGAGCTCACACTCCTAACCACTGTGCTGTGCCGGCCAGGCGTGTAGTAGGTGCTCGATAAATGCCTGCTGACTAGACGAATAGACACATGGAGAGAGGCGCTTGAGGACACAGGGGCTCATAGTCTAGGTCCTTCCATCACTGCCTCGGCTTGTGAGAGGCCCGGAGGAGGCCCTGGACCTCTGGGCAGGGGGCAGAGCCCTGAGCCCACTCCCCTCAGGGCCGCATCTGCCCAGGCTCCTGGGCCCTGAGGTGTGTCCTGGTCTCAGTCCATCTCAGTCCTCAGACGCCTGCCTGGCTCCCTCTGCGATGAGACAACACACGAGCTCTCGTGTTAGCTGTTATTACTCACGGATTTCTCTGCCCTGTGTCAGTCGTGTCCACTTTTATCCGTTCAAAGTGGTAGAAGCCACTCAGGGGGAGAAGCAGAGAGCAGAACTCTGCGACCACAAACAAGGACCCATATTAATGGGGCCAAGGCCCTTGGGGGCGCAGGAGAAGGGGCTCACCCATCACTCTAGTCACAAGTGCTGGGCTGGGAAAGCCTGAGGTGGGGGCTCTCGTCCAATCTGCCATCGAGGGGCTGGGGGTGAGCTGGACCTCTGGGAAGCCCCCCGGTGAAGTCCCGGGTCGGGGTCTAGGACGTGAGTGTCACTTGGCCTCATTACCTGCCCCCCTCAACACCAGAGGCAAGTGGCCCTGAGGGTGACGGCAGAGTGGGTCTGAGGTGGACGTCGAGGGAAGGACTGGGATGGGAGTCTGAGCAGTGGTCAGAGGGGGGTGGACACAGAGAGGGGAAGCCCGGGGCCAGGCCCCGATGCGGGCTGACACTCTGAGCTGAGCACTCATGGTGCACGGGGGGCTCCTTCACCCTCCCACACCCCCCTGGGGAACTTGCCCAGGGCTCAGCCAGGCAGGAGGAGCTGGGCTATGAACCCACAGTCTGAGTCCCCATTCCCAACACTCCTCCTGAGGTGGGGCCGTCATGGTAGTCGACCTCTGTGGACCCCCAGAGGGAGGGCCTGGGAGGCCCGTCATAGGGGAGAGAGTGCTGTGTTGAGTGTGGAGACCTGGGTCCTCCTCTGGGTCCACCACTTCTAATAGGGACCCTGGGCACGGCCCTCACCTCCCTGAGCTGGGTTCCCTCTTCCGTGAGGGGACAATAATAGTACTCGCCTCTGGGGTGTTGAAGGGGCAGGTAAGAGGGCTCGTCACAAAGCACCTCACTGCACAACACCTGGTGCCCACGAGGGCTCAGCGAGGGGAGCTGTGGTGACCATGACAATGAAGATGACAAGATGATTATGGTGCTGGTGATGGTGGTTGTGGTGATGATGGTGAAGACAGTGATGATGATGATGACAATGACAATAATGGTGATGATGATGGTGGTGGTGGTGATGGTGGTGGTAATGGGCGGGGGGAGGGTGCAGGCAGAAAACCAAGTGTGACGCCTGATCCTCCATCCCTGATTATCCATCCTTATAGTGCCATAACTCCCTCCTCCAGAGCTCTGACCCCAGCTGCAATTCCCCAAGCTTTTCTGATGTGCTGGGGTCGTGACCCTAATGGACTATCATTTCCATGACTGCAGGGACGGGGTCTGTTTCACTCACAACTCTCACCCCAGCACCTGGATCGGCACCTGGCACATGACAGGTGCACACTGAGCATCTGTCCAAAGGCTTGAGGAGGACGCAGTGAAGCAGGAACCAGCCCCTTCCTGGTCCCGATCCCTGCAGATCCAGCCCTTCCTTGTCCCGACCTCTGCAGATCCACAGACTCTCTCCTCCACCGCTCCTCCACTCAGCATTCCCATTCCTGGGTGTCAGAGGACACCAAGAGGCCCTGGAAACCCAGGACTCGGGAGTCTCCTTCTCAGGCTTTTCGTCTTCCAGGCCCCCGGCCTGCCTTGGTTGGTGGCAGCTCACGTTCCGAGGTGGTCAACGACCACTTGCCTCAGTGACATTGACGTTCACTGGTGAAGAGCCGCTATTTCCCTGCTTCCCATGATGCACAGCAATGGGCAGGAGGTCAGGGGCTCAGATGGCCTTCAAGGCCCATGAGGCTCCTCCAGGGATGTCCAGCGTGGGCTCTCACTGGGTGCCCCCCGGAGACCGCGGACTCCACCACCTCCAATCTTCTGGGTGACGTGGGCTTGTTGGAGGGTGGCTACAGGACAGCAGGCTGGGCTCCCATTCCCCTCTGCCCCTCCACCCAGGCTGGGTCCACCCCCTTCTGACCTCTCCAGGATGGGTTTGCATCCT